TGTTGACTGTTTTCTCTCGTCAGGATAGATTCGTATGAATAGAATATGTATTCTTTGGTTTAGATTGGTTTGGTTTATTTTGTTTTGCGGCATATCAACCTCAATGAGTTATTTAATGCCGACAACATTTTTATGATAGATTCGTATAAATAGAATATGTATTCTTTGGTTTAGATTGGATTGTTTTGTTTTTTCTTTTTTCTTTTTTTACGGCATATCAACCTCAATGAATTACTTAATGCCGACAACATATTGCTGGTAATATTTTGTTTTGTCAAAAATCTGTTTCCCGTAATATTTTTCTTTCAAAATTGTATTGCTGGTAATAATTTTTTTTTCAAAAAGTATTGCTGGTAATAGTTAAGTATTTGCCTATAGATGGGACCTTAACAGGTGCTACCACCCTGGTTCAGGGTGGACCTGGGAACACCAGCAATTAAGAGATGGTTCCACGCTTCTCAAAACCTGATCAGGGGTCTTGCTGCTGGACGTAGTTTATCGTCTTACCCAGTACGCGGATGTAGTTTAACGTCTTACCCAGGACGGCTTTATCAGTTTGTCTGCCATAAAAGGTACATTGGTCTTCAAATATTTTCTACCACAGCATCTTGGTCAATAATAATAATTTGGCTCTGCTGCATGTGACTGGTATGCCATTATCAGAATGGATGGCATGATGTGCATATTAGGATCCTTATATTTGCACACCAGCGTCACTTTGTCGGCGTGTTGCCCTCTGTCGCTATACCTCTTTCTTTAAGAATAATATTAATAATGATAAAACAAGTTAAAAACGGAGCTTCAAATGGGCAGAGAAATACAAGTAAAGCACAATACACCGACTGAATCTTCAAAATACTTAAAAAAAAGAAACAAAGGTAAATGCTATTGACAAGATACAGAAACGAAGGCAAGCTAAACCCCTTCACGGCCAATAATATTCCCATACCAAACAAGCTGATGTAGTGCGGGGTTAAAAGCTGAAACAGTAGATTGTATTCTTGCTGCGCAGGACCAAATGTATGCTAACTAGAATATACCAAGCAAGCATACTAAAACATTGAAAGGTTCTGTGATTATTACTATTATTATTATTATTGTATTTTTTTTAGATTTTTCACCTTCAAGGTTGTAATCTTTCCAGCTAATTTAGACTCAAAACTGTTGTGGATTCCGAGGTGAATTCGGTCTTCAAGGAATGACAAAGGCAATAATTAAATATAAGAAATAAAATGTATTTACACAATCATACAAAGAGTAATACTGTTAGTAAGTCCAGGAACGCGGTTAGTAGTAAATACAGATAGATATATACAGTCTCGAAGTAGGATTTCCTTAGAGTCTATGTGCTTGTAACTGACTTCTACAAGAGGTTATCTCACTATCTCCGTTCGTATATTCTCTCTCTCTCTCTCTCTCCGTATATCCTCTCTCTCTCTATCCGACTACCTCACTGACTGTCTAACTCTTGGTATTTAACGGCAGCAGTCCAAGTAACACTTGGTACAGTCCACTTATATAGAAAAGGGGTGGACCCCATAACAGAATTCATATCAGCACGGTATTCCGTTCTTTTCTACGCATACATACATCTGCATTTGGGCATTGTTGCAAATTAAGGATTGACCGGGAAATGATAGTCGGTGTATTTTGTTGGGTAGTGGAGACCTGAACTCTGAGATATCGATGTAGTAGTAGTAGTAGTGTGAGTAGACCAACTCGAAGAAGGATCTGTTTCGGAATTTGTTGTGGATTCCGAGATGAATTCGGTCTCCAAAGAATGACAAACGCAATAATTAAATATAAGAAATAAAATGTATTTACACAATCATACAAAGAGTAATACTGTTAGTAAGTCCAGGAACGAGGTTAGTAGCAAATACATATAGATTATATATCTATATGTATTTGCTACTAACCGCGTTTCTCGAAGTAGGACTTCCTTAGAGTCTACGTGCTTGTAACTGACTTCTACCCGAGGTTACCTCACTCTATCCGACGGCCGACTACATCCGACTACCGACTGTAACTCTGGGTATTTAACGGCAGCAGTCCAGGTACACTGGTAGGGTCCACATATGAAAAAGGGGTGGACCCCATAACAAAAACCGACACTGAAGATTTATCTATCGAACAAAAAAAATTCATCGTAATCGGAGCAATACTGTGGAAACGCAGAAACAACATCCGATCACACACATACATACACACACATTTGAGACTTATAGATATATAAGATATACAACAATAGGTCTTCAAAGATACCAAGAAAAGACTGATGACTAAATGATGATCTGTGTCAAAAATCATGAAAGATGCAATGAAGGAAGCTAGCAAGTTCAAAATAGAGTTTCAAATGAGTGAAGGAATGCAAGTAAAGCATAATATACTGATTGCGGTTGCAAAAAAACTTAAAAAAGAAAGCAATGGCAAATGCAATCGACCAGATACACAAACGATAGCAAGATAAACCGCTTCATGGTCAATACACTGCCCGTAC